GAGTACCTAGACGAATCAGAGTCAGGAGAATACGTTAAAGAAGAATATCTAGATGATAAATAAGCGACTAAAATGACAATAACTTGAAGTGCCTAATCAGGAAGTTCAGAAAGAAAAATAAAACAATGTTTATATTAGTTTTTTAGAGCGTTAGGTAATCTGTTGAGGGCAACAGAGAGGTCAGGATGAACGAGCTGTAGCAGTTTGAGTTGTCCAAACGTACAGTAATGAGCCCGTTGGGCAGATGCTCAACAGTTAAAGCGTTTTCCGTTATACGTGCCACAGCGGAAGTAGCAAAAACAGAAGACGCAATTAAAAGAACATTCGAGATACGACAGTCGAACAGTAAATACATAGAAGTTATTTTCTCCAGATAAAACGTGTTCGTGCGAGATCCGAAAAATCACTACACAATGTTCAAACTAAAAGTCGCTTTTGAATATGAATCTTCTTACCTTCGTTCTTCACTGAAACGTAATCGCTTAGTCCTGGCGTGGCTCTGCTTATCTGGTCGCTTTCGAAGAACTGCAATACCTCGTTTTTAATTTCGGGATCCAAACCGTGTCCTAACCTTTCGTTGGAGGTGGCCAATACTCCTTTCCCGTTTGCCAAGCATCGAGCTTGCAATACAATGTATTTATTTGTTTCAAACTCGTCCATTACCGTTTGCGTTGACCAAGATTTCGGCAAAATCGTCAGAATCCTTATTTGATCGTCTCTCGATGAACCTGGATCAGCAAATCTCTCCTTCATTGTGCTCCGCAGCTTTCAATTTTAGTTGCTCCAGGTCATCTTCTTGAAACCCGAAGATGCGTTTCTTAATGCCATTGATAATGTCCATATACTTTCTCCGGGGATAGTTAACATTCTGGATTTTTTTTTGTCGATATTGGCGATACGTTGATACCAGCTATGCCCTTGTTGAATAGCTCAATATTTTTTTTTCCTTTGGTTTGTTTTTTCCGTCGATCTTGTTTTCCGTGCTGAGCACCAATGCTACCGACGTGCCAGGAAGGCAGCTCCCACACCTGGACCCTACCTATCGACCCATCAACTCATGAATCGGGGACCAACGGCTTTACTTCCCATCCGAAGGAAGGCGTGATCAGAGATGTTATGCCTCAGAACATCCCGGCGGCGCCGACTGGGATTGAACCCAGGCCTGCTGGGGTGAGAGGTAATCACGCTTACCACTACACCACCGGCGCCGTTGAATAGCTCAATATTATGCGTCCTGGAAAATTGTTGCTCTCCACTATCCTGAGATGATGCTGTTGTTATTGACGTAGTTGATGGTATTTCTTCGAGGCCATGTCGAGATGTAGATGGCTCCGGCTCCGCGATGTCCATGACTGACGGTTGCACTTCTAGTTCCAGATTTTCAGCACATGGTTCTATTCTATTTAAATTCAAGCGACATGTATCAAAGATTGATAGAGATGTATCCAAAATAAATTTCCACTCTAGGAACTTATGTTTTTCAATCAAATTTTCAGATAATTTACGAGGCTTTGACGAACACCGTTTATTAGGAAACGGCTTGCAACACTCGACCTTCTTAAATTCCATATTCAAATTATACTTGTTCACTCAAAAAGATTTTTTTAGTGATGTCTGTTTTCAAAAGGATGGTCATGCTTATATACAAACGTAGGTACCATTTGGATATTCAGGTATAAATATTGTTTTGGTATTGAAGCTACTCTAACAGAGAAGCTCTTTTTTTCATGAAAAATACCATGGAAGACACGAGGGGGACGACTCTATCTACGATGCAAAAAAGATTGTGTTTTGCTGTGGCTAGCTGCGCGCACGCTGAGTAGATAGAAAGAAGATTGATGACGATTCTGAAGATTTCCTGCAAAAAATTGATGATTGATGCATGTAGATGCGACAAATGAAAGAAGATGGTTCGAAGATTGATTCGCTAGTGTGAGATTTGTTGATCATCTAAACTTGAGATTTAGATGTGTCGCCCCCCTCGGGAAGACATTATAATGTACCTACAATAATAAGATGAATAGGTACATCAATATTAACAACTTAAATAGGTTGAAACTACGCTTGATAATGAAAATAAGGGTAACTTAACTTGTGTTGGTTTTTATATTTAAAATAATAGTGTTTTCATTTCCCCTGTAAATTCTAAACGGGTTGTCTGATCGTTCAATCGTCAAAAGACAAATTGAAGGTAAATATATGTGTATCTTGCTAAACTTATCAATGCTGATGGAGAATCACGATTAACTTATGAAAATGGCTTATTTTCTACAAAAAAAATTGATTTTGATGAACGTAAATTTGAAATATATCGAAAATGGTTATATTTAGGAAGTTTATCGAGCACTATCGCTTGAAATGATTTTTATAATCATATACTAACATCAAACTGAACATTTTGCCGTAAATAATGAAATTTTCAAAAATGCCTCAAAAGTTGCTCTTAGAAAAACTTTTTTATTGAAAGTTTGTCCATCCTAGACTTGTTTTCAAAACTTCTGCTTTCTATTCAAGTTTTTATAAAAAAAATATAAAAAAATTCAAAAATACGTTTTTTTGTTATTTGAATTTTGAGGTTTATTTTTAATTTTTTTTTTGTAAAAAAACGAAAAAAATAAATTGGTGTATATTTTTTTATAAAGCCTTATTAGTTTTCTACAACTCCTTCTTAGTAATTTTTTTTCTACAACCAACTGTTTTCGAACTACATTTTTTTTAAAGTATGTGTGCAAAAACACATAGGCCCTTTTCAAAAATTACCCTTGAGTCAAAAGGGTCTCCTCTCCTGCGGAAAATACCGAGGGGGGCGACACATCTAAATCTCAAGTTTAGATGCTTAACAAATCTCACACTAGCGAATCAATCTTCGAAAAATCTTCTTTCATTTGTCGCATCTACTTGCATCGCTCATCATCTTTTTGCAGGAAATCTTCAGAATCGTCATCAATCTTCTTTCTATCTACTCAGCGTGCGCGCAGCTAGCCAGAGCAAAACACAATCTTTTTTGCATCGTAGATAGAGTCGTCCCCCTCGGAAAATACTTGGTCTATCATACTGAAAATATGGGCAAAGTAACATTCAAATCGAAGATGGTCGAGCACGATTTCAGGTTTTTTCAGCTCATTCTGGATGGAATCCCTCAAAAGTGACTGGTCAAATTTTAAGTGCCGTGTACAGGTATATAATTTTCACTTTTTTATGAGTGTAGGTATGCGCGGAGCATTTGGCCTTATGTAAAAGTTTAGTAACTTTTAAGTTCGTATTATCTCTCTTTATACCAAGTTATCCGTCGGTCAGGAGAATTGGGATCTAGCGTAACATTTAATCTATTTAGAATTGGAAACCTTTTGTGTGACACGCACGTTCCCATTTGGTAGGCAATCGACAATACGTCCTTTCGAGAATTCATCCTTGAATTTCTTCGCACAGCGACGCTCCAGTCGGCGAGCACTTGCAACTCATTCAGTATTTGCCCCTATCGTTACCTGCTGCCCATGGTGAGTCGTCTTCGTTATACACGGTAAGAATGAAATACCCATTTATGTGTAAATTTTGACGCATACTGCGAGAAAAGGGGCCTTCTCATTAATGATTATTTTTTACTGAGTAATGAGTTGTTATTTAGCGGCGCCGGTGGTGTAGTGGTAAGCCTGATTACCAAAACATCTCTGATCACGCCTTCCTTCGGAAGGGAAGTAAAGCCGTTGGTTCATGTGTTGATGGGTCGATAAAAAAGGGTCCAGGTGTGGTAGCTGCCTTCCTGGCGTCGGTACACAGAAATTCAAAACAACCCAAAATTAAGTTCTTTTCACTCATCTCCCATGTTCCGTACGATAAGCCAAATTTGGGTAAACCGGCTCAAAGTAGTTTGCATTTAAGGACGGCAAAAAAAATTACCCATCGCTAAGTTATTTTCAATTTTTTCTACCCAAAATTAAGTTCAATTAACTCAAATTTGGGTATATCGCATATTACTCAATTTTGGCTTCTCGTACGGAACTAGACGGTTGAGTCGAATCTTTCGTTCTATTTTTGACAACAATAGCGAGAGGAAATGAAACGGGCAGAGGTCAAATAACTCAAATTTGAGTTTTAAAAACCCAAGCGGTGGGTAGTTTTGTTTTTCTGTGTAGTATTGGTGCTCAGCACGGAAAACAAATCAAGGAAAAAAATTAGTTATTATTTACTGTCCAGATCAAATAATCAGAAAATACACTTTCTTGAAGCAGGCCGTAGCTTACAGCTCAAAACTGTAAAATTTATTTATTAAATACAATGAATTTAACGGTAATTATTCCACTTACATCAATGATCTTCTTATCGTGGCTCTTTGACCTGGCAAATTCAGTTGATCAGCTTTGCTGTAGTCTAAACAATTAAATTGCATGATTTAATAATTTATAAACATTAGTTTAACATTACTTACGAATTTTTACTATTACAATTTATTTGAAATTCACTAAATAAACAAAGTTTTCAAAAATGTTTGTGCTCCTACTAATTTAACTATCTCGAAAATCTGTATATCCTTTTAGACTTCCCTAATAAACGGGTACCATACACTTATGATATCATAGATGGTACGACCGTACCACATAAAGTTGGGATTATATCCCGAATTGGTGGTTAGGCGCTTCTTATGGTTATTGTTTATGCGGGTTCACTTTTGCTAATATTTATCCTCCTCGATTGACACCTGACACTGACACCTCACTTATCGACAGGCCCGTCAGTGAACCCACTGGTGTTGTGCCCAACGGTGGTGGCAACATTTACCCATTAATGAGTAACTGATTGTAAAAGTTACTCATACATGGGTAAACAAACAAATTATAGAACTATTCCACAAATGGTTTGATCACTTCGTTGTGCAAAAACCATTCACATTTTATTAGGATTTCCATACAATTTGACAGTCTATCATAAGAGTATCTATATAGTCTTCCATGCGCACGCGTGTGTCAAACGGATTTGTTTTGATTCGTTCTTCGTTCCTGGACTTGAGCCGCAGCCGCACAGCAGCTGATTGATATCCGCAGTGAGTGTTGTGATAAGCGTGATAAGTTTGTGGTGTTTTGCGGAAATTTTGCTCTGAAAACCATTTTAAACGTTCTCTATCCAATCAAGTTAAGCACCCATATGTCCAGTGCCGCACACAAGATGAAGGTTTTGTCCCTCTACAGACAGCTGCTGCGCGAATCGCAAAAATTCAGCTCCTACAATTTCCGGTTAGTATTATAGGGATGTTTTAAATTTTGAACGTTCCTGTGTATTGTTTCTGTTTGAATTCTTCAGCAACTATGCCCTACGGCGGATTCGTGATGCATTTCGGGGTAATAAAGCGCTGACGGATTCGGTAAAGATCCAAAGTGAGATGGAGTTTGCTAGGAAGAATCTGGACACCATCAAGCGACAGGTAAGAACAAGAACACTATGCTGAACTTGTGATGTAATCAGTGAGCATTGCACTGTATTGGGAAATACATAGTTAATGACAATTTTAAACACTAGAGTCGATCAACAATCAACAAACTTATCTTTGTTTTCAGGCGCTTATCAGTCAGATGTTCCGAACGGATAAACTTGTCATTGAGAAATGAGCTCATCGCAATGAGAGGCGCTTCTCTTTCAGAATCAATCCCATCGTCACCAATCTCACTACGATAACGGAAGTGTAAATTAGCAGCATAAACCACATTTTTCAATTTTGCCTCCGTTGATGTGCTTCATTTCTGCCTACAAATTAAAATGTCACAAATTAGGTGTTCTTCATTGAATGCTTAAATTAAACAGTATACTGCGTGTCCTTATAGGTAGGTATAAGTTTGTGTTTGGAACATCAACACTAGCATGTAAATACCGTTAAGGCACTGTTTAGATGTAATAATGGATGCAAAATAAAGGACATATTTCAGTAATCGAGGTTTCTTTATTGAATAATATTTTTTTTACATACTGAATGCACTACCTAGCGAATAACTTTGTAGGGATTAAGAATACCGTTGGGATCCATAATAGCTTTCAGTCGCTGCATGAGCATAATCGCTTCCGCCGTTTTTGAATATTTCAAATATTTGGGCTTTAGAAGGCCAATCCCATGCTCGGCACTAACGCTTCCTTTGAGTTTTGATGTAAATTCGTATACAAATGGATCGATTAGTTGTTGAATTTCCGGCGTCAGTTCGTCTCCAGCAATGTTGAGATGAATGTTGGAGTCACCTTGAAGGACATTTTAAAAGTAACTTATGTGTGTAAGAGTGATATCAAAAATTGTTTGCTTCGATCTTTTCTTAAAAGGACTTTTCATGAAAAATCGTTAAACTACCTGTGGAAGTCACCTGATAATATTTGTCCTGGAACCCGTATTTTTTAGAGACATTTAGCGAGACATTCAGAGAGGCTTGTTTGTCTATCAAATTAGGGGAGCATAACTTTCCCATCTCTGTCTGATTTTCAATTCATATGGAAAAGTAATGCTTGTATGGGTAGGTAGTATAGATACAGTCAAAACTTAACCTGAAAGTCGTTTAAGGACAAGATTGACGGAATCCTTCCACATGCCGTTTTCTGGGGCACTATTCTTAACATTCAGAAGTCGTACAGTACTCAATCTTGTCCTACGACTCGTACATATGAATATTTAACACGATTCTCTGCAGCAAACACTCAGGGAGATACATTTTAAGCTTCATATAGATCGCCAGATGTGGGCCCGTGAAAAAAACGAAATTGAAATCTTTTCTTCACATTTTTTAAAATTTTAACTGCTTTTGTGTACCGTTCCGATTCAAATTTCGGACGATTCAAATTTCGGACACTTTCATTTTTAATTAAATATTACATCCAGTTAGAAACAAAGTAATAATGTTAGATGATCGTGGAGGGCACTAGTCAAAAAAATTTAAAATTTACAAGACATGTGGATCATATTCGACCGAGATAATCAACTTTTAAAAGTGTCCGAAATTCGAGTTTAAGTGTCCGAAATTTGAATCGGCACGGTAGTGATTAACCCCTATGTTTAACTGGATGTTGTTAGAATTTCAGGAAGCAAGTCATCTAGTCATCTTCATTCATCAATGGTTCAGCAGTATTGGTGATAAATGATGATTCCCATGCGTTTAGATTTGAAGCTTTTCTGACGGTTTTGCACCTTTCCAGTCAATGTTATGGTCTAAGCTAATTGTGTGTACCGCAACGGTTGATTCATTCGGTTTTTTGTTGTCTACAGCATGTTTATGTTCTTTTAGGCAAACTTTTACTTTGCGGCGCGTTTGTCCGATATAGACCGAAGGACAGTCATTGTAGGGAATTTGATAAATTCCAGACTGTTCATCCGGCGGAACCTTATCCTTCAGGTTACACAACAGGTCACGCAAAGTGTTGTCGCTCTTGTGTACTACCTAAAGTCCTTGTCGCTTGAGTGTGGATTTGATTGGGTTGTGATTTTGGGATAGAACGGCAGACTGATTCTTTTTACTTCTTCTCCCATCGGATCTAGTGTGGTTATATTTTGTCGGTGCTGTAGTGTCGATCATAGCATATAATTACCTTGACTTGTATTAATTGGAAGATTGCCGTAAAATCTCAACGCAGATGTCGCCACTGCATGATGATGATAATGTTGACAGACTGCATATAAAATTCGTGAAAATTAGCGTTAAATCATAATTTTCATCAAGCCTGTGTAAAATCCTTCCAATATAACATTCGAATTGAAGAAGAAAACGTTTTCACGATCAGACTGATATGCATCTTTGACTTTTCCAGTTGAACTTTCATTAGATATATTCATTTCATTTCGCGGCTCCATCAATGCTGCATTGTAAATATGATGTAAACAGAAGTAAATTGCTCAATTACTCAAAATAAAGATGATTTGTATTCTTGTTATCACTTTGAAGACCATCTAGCACCATTTTATAGTATGGTGCGTGTTGAGTAAAGCAAGTTCCGTTGCGTTTTCCGTCGAAAATTGTGAGTATCAATATGTTTTCTTAGAAAAGGCCAAAATGAACATTTATTTAATATTGGCGTCCTATACAACCAATTCTCCATTACCACCAGCATGATACAACCTTTCATAAGTAAATGAACTTAATTTCCACTTTCATCTTAGTGTAAATCTCACATATTTACCATTTTCTGAAAAATGCAGCTGCGCAGGAGGTAACCTCTCCCTGTGGGTGCAAACTTGTTATGCATAATTTGCCATGAAAACATCTCCGATCCATACCGAAATAATAACAAATAGTTTTCAAACACGTTTTCTTACACGATTCAAGCAAAAGTTTCCACGGGAAATTATTAGTTTTTCTTAATGGACCGATTTGCCCCAAAAAGCGTCTGTTTTACTTGGAAAATTTGGAAACTATCCTCCTTCTAGTAGTTCTCACTTCGAAATGCAGGTGGCGAAAGCTTGGAAAAGTTTCACTGCAAGACGCCAATCTTGAAGATATTATACACTCAAAATTATTACTAATCAAAGGAAGATTAAAATCTCAATTCGAGATGCTCAAAAAATCTCACACTAGCGAATCAATCTTCGAAAATTCATCTTTCATTTCTCGCATCTACTTGCATCGCGCTTCATCTTTTTGCAGGAAATCTTCAAAATCGACATAAATCTTCCTTCTATCTACTCAGCGTGCGTGCAGCTAGCCACAGCAAAACACAATCTTTTCTGCATCGTAGATAGAGTCGTCCCCCTCGGATTAAAATTTAGTCTATTTTTGGTTCCTCAATATTTATACGTTGATCTGATTAAAATTTGCTTTGAAATTATACTAAATCCGAATAACAACTTATAATTCGCTCAGTGTATACCACACACTAACTTTAGATTACTGGAGTCAGTAAAATTTTGGGTTTTTGAATTGCGGATCGCCCAGTAATCATCACAGAAATAATTTGCATTATCGAACTGTCCGTAAAGTCAAGCTGTCAAAAATAACTGTTCATTCAGTAATTGGTTCGAGTTGCGTATACTGGAAAACCCAGGTTTTTCTTTTTGTTTATTTTGATGCAATTTAACTGAGAAGACAGTTATTTAGTTCATTACTATACCGTGTTACCCAGTTATATTAGAGTAGTGAATGTGCAGTAATAAAAGCATAAATCCTGGTTTGTTAATCAAAAATTGTTGGAGATCAAGGAACTGCAAAAAGAGTAAATAATAAGTGTTGGTACCAACGAAATAGTTTTTCAATTTCGCTGTCGAGCTTTCTCAGTTCCGTCATGATATAATTCAAATTTTAACAAAACTGCGCGATTAAACACTTGCTCCCGGATTTTACTGAAGCTAAAATGGCGGCGGGAATAAAATTGACAGGTTAGAGTTTTACAATTCGTGGTCGGTAAAACAAGGTGGCTATTTTGCTGACCAGTCGGTAAAAAAATAAAGACTACTTTGTGCACAATCATTATTTTTACTGACTTTTCGTGAAATCACGAAAATTTGGAAATTAACGACTTGCTCAGTAAATCAATGTTCTGTGTACAGTATTTTGCATCAAACGATACCGAAATTCAGTTTGTGTTTTACAGAACGTCGGTTATTCACCTGATTTAAACTGAATTTTCAGCAAATCTTTCGTTTTACTTTGTAAGCCCAGTACAAAAAAAAATACCGAACAACTAAATGTTGGATTAGTGTGCAACGTACATATACAAACTGCAGTTTGTTTTCCATGCAAATAAAAGTACAAATTCAAACGTCGCAACGGACCATTTCATTTTCTGTGCTTCCTGGAGAAACCGCAGTCAAACAGTTGATCGAAAATAGAAATTAATCGAGAACGGAAATTAAATTCAATAAGTACTGCACACATCATTAACATTAACAAAACTTTGTGAGAATCTGTTGACGTAGGACTACGTCTTTGATTTCTATATGGGGGTAGACTTTGTGAAAACCGAAAATGGAACATGTAACAAATTAAGAAAGATTTTGAACGTTAATAACTCAGCTGCACCTGGTCCAATTTCAATAGTTTTATCACCAATCGATCAGAAATATGGCTACGCATTTTACAAGAAACTATTGAAAAACTGGTAAATGTCCAGCATTGTCCAGAAGCGTCAAATTAACTAACAAATCCACCAATTACCTACATGCATATGCTGCTTCCCCAGCACAGTCGTCAGAGAGTAGTAAGTAGACGAAACAAGTCCAAGTGGCATTCGCCTCCGATCCACGGGCGCGTGCGAATAGGGAGGATGGAATTGCGTAAATTTTGCACACTCATCGCCATATTCAGAACCAAACGCAAATTCTTCGAGATAACCACCATTCGTCGTCTGGCTCGCCGTGGCGGTGTCTGACGTATTTATCTCCGGTCTGATTTACGAGGTGTGCTAAAGGTGTTCCCTTTTCAGGGCCATCAAGCTTACATCAGTAAAGAGTTGGAATAGAATTTATCTGTGCTTGTTTGTCCATATTCAGAACCACAAGCCCTCCACGACCACACAAAATGCTCTCCAGAGTTGTAATTTTGTAACCAAACTTGGAAGCAGGGGTGCAAGTGATTTTGATTGATTCTCTTAATCAACTTTCTCTTTGAAAAAAATACTACACATTTGGTACGCCAACAATTCAAAAACGGAAAGAGTTGAGATAATAGATAATTGATCAAATAAAAGAACTAAATACTCTTCACATTTATTCCGCCTACTAGCGGTCCTACGTTAAGCTTCCGTTCGTGCCCCTAGGCACAGACCCTTCTACTTTTTTTCCTCTAGCCACTGTAACGATGTGTCACGCGTAATTTCCGACAGCCCACAGATTAAAAAATCAGCTGCTGCTTGCTCAGAATAAGGCCATATCGCTGTTCCAGAGGAATCAAGTTGAATAAGAGGTTCCCGCGAGAATTGCTTCTAATCGCCAATAATCGCCTGCAACGATGCAGCGACTATCCCACCTCTACTGAACGGCAGTGAACTTTCAAGGTCATCCATAACAGGATTCGAAATTCTATCTTGAGCTAAACATGAGGACCGTAAATCGAGCCATCTCGCAGTTGAACTGGAAGCAATACACGATGGTAAAACTTCGTGACAACCTGGAGAAGATCACTCTCCGAGCAGTTACCAAACAAATATCCACCGCTCTACTTTTCATGCGCCAGAGCTACCACCAGGTATCGGAAGGTTCGCTGAAATAGAAATCGTACTGCTCAGCAGCAACAAAATGCAAAGCAAAAATCATCTTCTCTGGTAAG